GCTGGCCGGCGTGGGCGGCGCGCTGCGCGGCCTCAACCTCAGCCTGTCCTACGACGTGGCGCTGCAGGGCACGCGGCTGCAGGACCTGCAGGTGCTGGTGAGCAACGCCAGCGAGGACGCGCGCCGCCTGCGGCTGGTGCACCTGGGGCTGGAGCGGCAGCTCAGGCAGGAGCTGGCCGTGCTCAACACCGTCACCGAGGACCTGCGCCTCAAGGACTGGGAGCACTCCATCGCGCTGCGGAACCTCTCGCTGGCCACAGGTGCCCGCCCGCCCCGGCCCAGCGCAGCCTCTTAGCTCCAGGAGGCTGCAGGCTGTGGGGGCCCTGCTGTGTCCTCTTGTGTCCCACAGGCGGAGCCCCGCGCGCCCCCTCCACCCCAGCGGGCTGCCCCGTGCGAGGGGCCTTTGTGAAAGACCCCCCCCCGCATCACCCCTGCTCCAAACCCACCCTGGCGCCCCAAGATCTGCGGAGTCCTTACTGAGCCGTTAGCCTGGGAGACGCCGACGGGGCCCTGGCCCAGGAGTGCCAGGCCAGCACCGCCCTCTCCCTGATTGAGGCTGTTTCGCAGTTCAGCTGCACACGTACCCACCTCCCACCTCACCCCGCCCCGGCCAGGGAAGCATGAAAGTTAAGGTCCCAAAGTTCAAACAGTGCCTGGAGACTGGGGCCCCCAGCACCCTAAGTGCGTCTACAATTGCCGGGAAGTCATCCGGAGCCCCGCTGGGCGCTGGGGGCAGCTGAGGCCCAGGGCGCAGACCGCGGGGCTCGGCCGCTGCAGCCAGGCCTGCGTCCTGGGGACCAGGGGTGGGTGAGGGACGGTGCAGACGGCGCAGGGGCCGGGACTGGCCGCTCGGCGAAGCTCCCAGGAGGCGCTCGTGCCGGGGAGGGCGCCCAGCTCTGAGAGCGGGGCCAAGCAGGCCCCTGAGCCAGCAGGGCGTGCACGAAGGTGGGCTGCAGGGCTCCGGGGCGGGGCCCACGAAGGATGTGGCTGATGTCTGGGGACACGGCGAGGAGGACTCTGAGGGAAGCGTCCCACTGTGAGCTTGCAGAAGGGCCGGGAACATGCTCGGGTCTCCACAGCCGGGTGGCACCCCTGGCTGAGCGGCTGGATTTGGAGATGAGTGGGAAGCCGGGCGCAGTGTGGGGGCAAGAGGTCTTTCAAGAGGCTGGGGCATCCTGCGCCCCAGGGGCTGGGCTGGACAGGAAGGACGTGGAGACAGGACAGGAGGAGCCTCGATGACAAAAAAAAAAAATGTGGGGGGAGGGCTCAGCGCAATCTCGAGGCTTTCAGCCTGGGTTCCCTTGCTGCATCCTTACACAGAGAGGGAGGGTCGGAGCAGAGCGAGCTCCTTCTCCTCACACAAGGGCAGGAGCCCAGCCCGGGCCGCCCTTGTACCCTCAGAGACAACCGATCACCTCCCATAGGTCCACCCTGAGTGCCACCCCCGGGAGGGCGCCCCAGCACGGGCGAGGGGGGCATGAACCCTCGGCCGTCACACCCGCTCCTCCCTTAGAGAGCCACCTTCTGTTCCTCAAGATTTCACTTTGGAGGCCACTTCTTCCAGGAAGCTCTCCCTGCCGCTCCGCCACAGAAAGCCGGACCCGGTGGCACCTGGTGCTTCCAGAGCATCACTGCCCCTGCCCCTCTGTGGGAGGGGGTTTTGTCTCCCTGGCAGGTGGCCTGTTCTGGAAAGTGCTCTCTAACCCTGTGCTATCTGTTCCACTTTCAGGACCTCCGGGCCCCAAAGGTGATCAGGGGGATGAAGGCAAGGAAGGCGAACCTGGCATCCCTGGGTTGCCTGGACTTCGAGGTAAAAGGGGGGCTTCTGGAACGGGAGGGGGTCCATTTCATCCCGACACTCTAGTTTCTGATTGGCGTGGAAGCTGAGGTCCCCGGAGGGGGTGCCCAGCCAACTGGGCTCCAGATGCCCCATCCTGTTACGAGGCTGGTAGGGTGTGGGTGTAACTGCAATGAAGCAAATTGTTTCTCATAGAAAGTACCAGATCTGACGAGGTACATGAACTGCTCCAGCCCCCAGCTCCCCACAGCCACGCCCCACCTGCTGGTGGTCTCCCCTCACAGGGGAGCCCCCTAACTCAGCGCTGAGGAGCCCTGGGGCTCGCAGAGTCAGGGGACCCCGCTTTCTGCCTGATTACACGAGGGAGGTGGAGCCCGGGCACATCCTGCAGTGGGTTCAGATTCAGAATTCCCCGGGCGGCGGGGCCTGCTTTGGTCTCCGGGAACAGATGCGTCACGTTAGGGAGGAAAAGACATCCATCAGCCCTTCTCCCTGGCCTGCCGCTTGCCCAGACCACCCGCCCGCTCCCAGCAGCTGACGTTAGCACTGGAGGAGTAATTATTTGGAGACAGGGTCCTCCAAGCCCCGGGAAAAGCCAAAGAAAACCAAGTGAACGCTCAAGCCGGAAAGATCGACCCGTCGGTTACTCAGTGAGCTCTGCTCTGTGGAGCTAGCTGTGGGCTCAGGTCAGGCCTGGGCCAGGCCTCTCTGGTGAAATGTGGGCGACCTGGGGCCCGGAGCCCTGGGCCTGACCGGCGGCCCCACCCACCGGCTGACCTACTGACCGCTCCCACCTCCTCGCCCGCAGTGCTTTTCCCTGGGCGCGAGAGGAAGGACCTTCTCGTCTCTCTAAAATAGGATGGGAAGGGAGTGCCCCTGGTCCTCAGTACCAGTCAGCCCTTCCATCCAGCATGCGGAGACGCCAACCCCAGAACTTCCAGACTCAGATTGTGCTTCCGCTGTTTGCGGTGTGGTCATGGGCAGATTCCTCAACCTCTCTGGGCCCCAGGGTCTTCACAGTGGAATAATAAGGACCTCAGTGTATTGTGAGGATTAAGTGAGATACTTTGTGAAAAGCATCCAGAACAGTGACTGGGTGTAAAATCCTCAGAAAAACAAAATGTTTGCCGAAACTTAACTCTTCAGCTCAGAGGTACAGGACCCCCTCCCCGCTGAAGCCCCTCCCTCCCTCCCTCCCCAGCAACCGCGCACCAGGGGTTCCGGCCCAACTGGGTGAGGGTGACTGCTGGGGGAGGTTTGTGTGGCCCGTCTGAGCACTGCTTTGACAGCATCTTCAAATCAACAGAGAAGAATATGACGACTGCATGGGGGGGCAGTGGTGCGGGGGGAGACGCACGGTGAGGTCATTGCTGACACCTTGAAGGTCACGCAAAACCTCTCAGACCCTCTAGTCCTGAGTCTGATCTGCCCCCTGCCGCTTGTCTCCCCAGGTCTGCCGGGCGAGAGAGGAACCCCAGGACTGCCTGGCCCCAAGGGCGATGACGGGAAGCTGGGCGCCATGGGCCCGATGGGCTTGCGCGGGTTCAAAGGTAATCACGTTGCTCAGCGCAGCGTGGAGCCACCCCGCCCCCCAGCCTCCTCCCCAGCATTGCAGACCCCCGTTCACCTCGCCCACACGCCTCCAGCAGTGTTTCTTCCGAGTTTTCCTCTGCAGATCATCACCACGCTCGCTCTAGGGGACCCTGCTTTGTAGAGCGCCCATCTTCCATGTGTCTGTCAGCTCTCCTAGCATCTTTGCCGAAGGAAACCTCACGCCTCTCCTCGAGGCTCCGCTTCCTCGCTCTGCAACGAGCGCACAAGTCCTCGTCATCATTGCCACCGTCCAGGGTTGCCTCTCAGTCTTGAATGGCTGGGAACCTTTGCTTTTTGGCTAGTGATTAAACAGATGAGGTTTCCTGTCCTTTTATAACTCACATCTTAAAAAAAAAAAACCTGATTTATTTAAAAGGTTACAAAAACAGTTTATGTTTGAGAAATTAATACAGAAATCTATAAAGGGTAAGGTAAAAAGTGAGTCCCTGCCCCTTGGCGTTTACTTCAGAGCAAGGCCTGCAGACCTCTCTCTGGGACACTCACGTTACACGGATGGCCGCCTTTGTTTTTCCAAACCTCAGAACCGCTCAGACCTTCTAGTGCTGCGTCTGAGAACCCTGCTTCTTGTCTCTCCGGGTCACTCAAATCGTCCTCTCCTGGAACTTGCTGGCTTGCTCTTTCGCAGACAGCATGCCATGGGCTTTCGGTTTCAGTTACCTGTCTGGAGTCACTTGGAATAGACCCCCCAGTCCCGTTAACGGCTCCTGAGTGATGTCAGAGCGTCTGCCTTTCTGGAGAGTGAGAAGACCCCTGTTCTTTCAGCCATCTCCTGGCAGGGCAGTGCCACAAGTCCCGAGAAGCTCGCTGCGTTGCCAGCTCCCAGGCCCGCTGGGCTCACCGTTGCTTCTCGCGATTGGACTCCCGGAGCCCTGGCGTCACCCCCACGGGGCTTAGGGGTGCTCAGGGGAGATGGCCGCCAGAGGGAGATAGCGTCGAGGCCCCTCCCCAGGGCGACCTGCCCTCAGCCCGCCCTCCTGGCACGGGTGTGCGCTCCCCAGCTGCCGGCATCCGGCGCCTGCCCCACAGCCAGCGCCTTCTGCGTTAGCCAGATGGAGGCCGCAGGCGATAGCCACAGAGGCCAGTGGCAAGAGCCTGACCGGCTTCATTTGCCCGACACTCCCCGCGTGCTTGCTGGCCGCCCGGCGGCCCACCCAGCCGGCGTGTACCCGGTGTGCGGCAGCCGCGCTCAGGGTGGGCGGGAGGCGTGCCAGCCCCCAGGCCTCAGAGGGCCTCTGCTCTCCTCCCTCTCTCTTCCATAGTCGTTTTTTGCCCACCTGCTCCGGTCACCGCCACAGCGTTCATCCCCGCAGGTGTGCACGCTCACGTGTGCGCGCTGCGCCCGCGCCCAGGCGCCTCCTGCGCCAGCGCCATCAAGGCTGCAGGGGCCGCTGTGCCGCCCCGTGTGTCACTGAAGACCCCTCCGCCCCTCGTGAGAGCAGCCTGGGGAGTGGCCATAAAAGCGGGGTATTTCCTCCTCTCCACAGCCGCGCGGCTATAACAGGGAGGGAAGAGCCTCCCGCCGGTGGCCGGGTGACCGTGGGAAGGGCGCCACCCTGGTTAAAACTGCCCTGTGTCCCCTGCCAGGGCTGCAGAGCTGCCGGGTCTCGCTGGCCTGGGGCAGTAAGTCCCCAGCAGATACTTTGCTCACAGCTAGGACTTAACTTGTTCCTTTTTTTCAGGTGACCGAGGTCCCAAAGGAGAGAAAGGAGAGAGAGGAGATCGGCCAGGAGATGCCAGTAAGACGATTCTGTTGGGATCGGGGATTCTGTGTTGGCAAAGGTACGGCCCCCCAAGTTGGGGGGTCCAGGAGCTGCACCCTGAGACCAGCTGAACCCTGAGACCAGCTGGAGGACAGAGCCAGGGCCCATCTTTCAGTAAAGCGTAATTCTGACCACGGCTGAGTGCCCCTGGGTGGGCGGCTGGAGGGGGGCTCTTAGTCATTTCCTGGAGGCGCTAATGGCCAGGAAGAAGGGGTTCTCAGCACCCTAACTCCACCCTCCTCCAAATACAATACAGTGGAGGAGGCGCACCCCACACGCCGGCCCTGGCAACCAGCTTGTGACCGCGCCGGGGCCTGCACCAGGGCCTCCCAGACAGCACCCAGTGGCAAAGGCCTGAAGGTCCAGCGGGTGGGGATGTTTCCACATGAAAGGGGCTGACCAGGGAAACAGGAGCTTCCTCTGGCGGGCAGTTACAGTGGCTTTTGAGAACAGCACCTCGCAGGGGCTCACCACGTCTGGGCCTGAGTGGAGGGCGGTGGAGTCAGATGGGACCCGGGATTCATGCCCGAGTCCACCCACCGTCCACTGGCGGGACTGGCGCAGAGCAGGAGAGCTGGGGCCGCGACAGAGGCGGCGTGGGAGGGTCCAGGCCCCCGACTCCGGCTGCGCGAGCGGTACAGGGCCTCTTGTGGTGCTGTGTGCTGTTCGTCCCCAGGCCAGGGTGCTGCCCGTCATTCCGGTGAATGTCTGGTTTCGGGAGTTTGGGCCAGAGAAGAGTTGCGTGCGCACAGCTCAAGAGGGGAAGATTTGTTTTACCCTCCCATACAGTTCGTCCATAGGAAAAATAAATTCTATTTTGCAGCGTGGGGTGGGCTGTGGACTCAGTTTAGCTTAAGTCCTGCAGCGGGAATCTAAAGCAGGTGTGTGTGTGGGGGGGGTGCTGCTAGAGCACCCCCTCGCTTGGTTCCCAAGGAAACAGCGAGGCGGGAGGAGCCCAGGGGAAGTTCTCAGCCCGCGCGTTGGTCACCAGTGGCGCCTTAGAAAACGTCTTGTGTGTGCCTTCAAAATTAAGGGGGAACAGTGGGTGGCCAGTGTGTGGTGCAAGCTCACAATAACGAGGGCGGCGGCTCCAAGCGGTTCTCCCCCAGAGCTGCAGCAGCCCCGCTTGTCCTAGAGTGCGGGAAGCGACAGAGGCCCTTGGGGCCATGCACCCCCTCCCTCCTTCCCTCCCACCTCTGAGGTCGCCTGCTCAGGCGAGGCACCAGGCCAGCTTGGCCTGGAGAGGCGGAGCCGGACCCACGTCCCTCCCGTGGCACAACCCCGCTGGCTGCCACCCGTGCTGGTCGTGAAGGCACGCGCCCTGTTGGGCCACAGCTGCGGCGTGCTACGGCCTTGCTCTCCCGACCACACTGACCGGAGGCGAGCCACGCCCGGACTCCAGGGAGCCTCTGTGCACATTTTCGCTGTTCCTGCAGCACGACCAGGTCCCTGGGGTAGAAAAGGAGGAAGCCGAGGTCGCCGGCGCGCCCCTGGGGCATGGCCAGGTCCCCGGCTTGTGTCTGCCCAGAGACCCGGCCCAAGCCGTGGGACGTCTCGTGACAGGCGGAATGGGGCGGGGAGACCCCCCAGGCCCGCAGAGAGCAGCAGAGAGCGCTAAGAGGTCCTGAGCAGGACACCCCAACTGGTGCTCCAGATACAGTGGGGCCTAAATAGGAGGGTTGAGGGGTGCTCATACCCCCCAGTTGAAAATCCTCATTCAAATTCTGGCTCGCTTCCCGAAGTTAACCACAGCCACCCCCGCTAGGCACAGCGCACTGGCTCCCGGCCCACGCCCAGACACCAAACCCCGCGGCGCCCCAGGTTCCCTGCAGGAGCCAACCCCATATCCACGGGTTCAACCCACAGCGGCGGAGGTCGAGTCCGAGACGCAGACCCTCGGCGGGGACATCTCCCTCTGGCCGGCACAGCTCCGGCCGCGCGGCCAGGGGCCACCGTGCGTGCTGACCGAGGCCGGGCCGCACAGAAGGTGCCTGCAGCTGGGGTCAGGAGAGGGGGGCCTCTCCGGCTGTCAGTCTAGGAGGTGGGCGGGCTCGCGGGAGGGTCCCGCCGGCTCCGTGCGTCCGGCGTCTCTTCATGAGCATCGGGCCTTCTGCACACTGCCCACCGCAGCTGACGGCACGGCTGCCCTCCCCACGCGGGCCCTGGCGGCAGCTCCTCAAACTGCCCCTCCCGATTCCCTGGCAAACAGGCAGAGGTTTCTGTGATTTGCCTCCCAAGAAAACTTTTAGTCATAAAACCTCAGGCTGAAGGTGAACAAGGAGACGTCTATACAAACAAGACCCCGAACCACAGAGGAGCTCGAGTGAGGGTCTTTGATGTGGCTTTTGCAGAGAGCGTTTAAAATTGAGACGTACATTAAAGCCAGCGAGGCCCTGGCTGTTTACTCAGGAGCAATTCAGGCTGTGGAGTTGTGCTCAAGCCCTTGACCCCACACGCGGCCTCTGCTGCCAGGGTGAGGCTTGACCAGGGCCCCGCAGATAAAACCTGGGCGGTCCCGCCGCAGCCGGGGTGGATCTGGCTCGGCTCTGCGGCCACAGCATGACCCTCGCTGTCCTCTGACGGTGGGAACACCCGTTATCCAGAAGGAGTTGCCTCCCTGGCAGTGGACTCCAGACTCTTTTCTAAGGATTGCTGTGGTCGAATGCTGATGGGAGAGAGGAGGCAACGCCTGCAGGCGCCCCGGGAGGTCCTGGGGTGCTGAGGCCGTGGGGTCACGGCCAGCTGCTCGACTCCAATGCCGGGGGAGCCCCTTGACAGTGCCTCAGAGCCCACCTCGACCCTTGGGGGAAATAAATAGTAAACAACACTATTTACGGAGATCCCCACCCTGTCACTGAGCTCACAGGCATGAGAATGTCTAAGATGCATGTTGTTGGCCCGTTTAGCAGGTGAGGAAAGTATTCTGGGGGATTCGATCACATGCTCAAGGTCAGGGAGCTAGATGTGGGGTGGGTGCCAGAGGCTGCCAGACGAGTCTCCAGCCGGCCTCTTGTCCAGACGCGGGAGCCTGGGTCACGGCAGCTCAGAAGGACGCTGCACGGGGCGCTCAACCAGCAGGCTATGGAGGGACCCACGGGGAGTCCGCGCCACCGGCTTCTCCCAGCCCCGCCGCATCTCTTGCCAACGGCCTGGTGACAAGCAGTGACCTCTCTGCCCACCGAGAAGCCCAGGAGCAAAAGCCACACACAGGACTCTCCTCCTGCCCAGTGAGGCACTGCAGATCAGGTCTGTCTGGGCCTCCCGAGGGAGCCTCCCACCGCCCTCGGCCCCTGGGCGAGCTCCGGTGCAGGCCCGGCAGGGAAGGCCTTCAGTTACCCTCCGAGGGACACACCTGCCTTGCAGCCAGCAGCGAGCAGAGCACCAGAAACAGCACGTGCCCAGCGGAGGGCGGCAAACTCGCACCTCTGTGGGCCTCGTGTCCACGCCACGGCGGCCATCACTGTCAACCACGTCACAGGTGCTGCTGTGGACAGCTCCACCCAGATGCTGACTGAATGCGCCGCAACCCGGGACAGAGCCCAAGTGCCGAGCACAGCGGAGTCCCCAGCAAAGCCACAGCCTGCGGCCCCTGTCGAGAGGTGCTACAGGCGCGGGCCAGCTGCAGTGCGGGAGGCCAGGTGGGGCCTCTTCACCGCGTGGCCGGGGAAGCCCCCTTCCCCTGCTTCAGCTCCCCACCTGAAGGAGGCAACAGCCCCGCCCCGGAGGGCCACAGAGACCGCGAGGCCGTCTAGCAAGCATGCTCTGAAGGTGCCTGAGGATCCTGCTGGATTAAGAGCAAACACACGGGAACAGCATCGTAGAGCGGCGCCCACAGGCCGGACCACAGTGGCCTGCCGGTGTCCTGCCGGTGGGGTGGCTCCTGTCCTGCCCACGTGAACCCCATTTCCCACGGATGTCAGGGCAAAGAGAAGTGTCAGTCTAGAAAGGAGGGAGCACACCGTCCCCTCTTGGGGCTGGGGAGCACGGGGAGTTCTTTCTTTGCAGAAGGCAAGCTCGACTTCCGCACTGGGCAGCTGGTCCAAATTATCCCGGCTCTACTCTGCAGCTGCAGAAAACCCACTTTCCCAGCCCTGTGTTTATTTCTCTTCCCCACGACCTCCCTCCCTCCAGCTTGTTTTGCTCTGGTCAGGGCGGGGAAGCAGGATAAACAAACCTCAGCACTGCGACGTTCCCGCCTGTGCCGCTCCCGTCTCTGCTTGAGAAGCAGTTTCCTGGCCAGTGGGCCCTGCTGAGACACAGCCAAGCAGGGGTGTCCTAGGAACCCCTCGGACTGTAGGCCCCACCATCCATCCACTCACCCCTCACTGGCTCATCTGGTAAACACTGGACGCACCAGCTCAGCCTGCCAGGGCAGTAACGGCGCCGCCCCCCGCCCCCCCCCAAGTGCCGAGGCCTCAGAGAGGTGGGGTCAGCTCTCACCGGCCGCGGCCAGGGAGGCTCCAGAGGGATCACGCCTCCGCATCCTCTGCGCGGCCTGACAGCGCTCAGGCGTGGAGCCGAGATGTATCCCACGTCTGTCCTCTACAGCCCCGGGGGGACTGTGGGCAGAGTTCTCCGTTCTCCGGCCCCCCGCCCTGCAGCAGCATCTGCGAAAATCCCCCAGGTGACCTGCGAAAATCCCCCAGGTGACCTGCAGCCCAGGACGGGGAACCACTGCTTCAAGCCCAAGACGCTTCCCCTCCCCCGAAAGCCACGGATTCCCTGACCGTCCAGTGCGGGCACTGGAGACACCGTCATGCAGGCCTTAGGTATCAGCCCGAATGCCGCCCCGTGGTCTGAAAGTAAAAGACCGTTGCTCTTCTCCTTGGCTCCACCTTGTAGCAGCTGTGTGACTCTGGGCAAATGACTTGACTTCTCTGGGCCACAACCCTCCGCAGTGGTCTGGGCTGTTGCTGGCCGCCGCGCCGGGGGCTCCTCGCACAGCGCTTACTGACCCACCTGCGGGGCGCAGGGGGAGAAAGTGAGAAGCTGCACAGGGGAGGCCCTCGGCACCCCTGTGCCGGGCATGAGGGGAGCTAAGTACACCTCCTCCCCCGTGCTGTTCCTCCTGGAGTCACCACCGCTGGCATCGCTCCCGAATGGCTTTGTCGTACTTGGGGGTCTCTGGGCAGGTGTGGCCCTGCCCGGCAGCAAGCAGGTAGTTCTAAGGCAGCCGCAGCCTGGAAACTGGTTCTGAGACCGTCATATTTGCCCCGGGCTGTCCTGAGACCTGCCCAGGGACCCAGAAGCGAGGACCCCTGACCTGTTCCCCAGATGCTGGAGGAAGAGGGAGTCCACCCACTCAGCCCCAGTTACAACCACAAAACCTGCAGCATCCTGGTAAAATAAGGCAGAGACCTGGCGCGCCCAGGCACCCTCCCTGCGGGGTCACGGCCCCGGGCTCGCCAGAGGCAGGCGGGGCAGCAGCAGGCGTGTGGCGCGGTGGACGACCTCTGTGTCGCCAGTGGGGGGACTCAAAGCCAAGTCCGGGGCCCCATCGGCTCTGGCCACAGGGGTTCAGAGCCGTGTGGTCGTGGGGGACACAGGCAACCGTGTGTGGGGTTCCTTTGCTCTCCTCCATCTATATTTGCAAGGCGGGAGACCGGAGACCCTTGCCGTGAGGAGAGCGCCCCGCAGGTGGGTCAGTAAGCGCTGTGCGAGGAGCCCCCGGCGCGGCGGCCAGCAACAGCCCAGACCACTGCGGAGCCGCCTGACAGGTCATCCCAGCTCGCGGGAGCCAGCGGAAGCTGCGGGGCTGCTGGTGGGGCTCCCATGCCCTCACGGGGGCTGGGAGCTGCGCCCTGGGGAGAGCAGAGGACCTTGAAGCCGACGGGGCGGGGCGCAGCGGGGGCGCACCCCCTTTGCCAGCCCAGTAGGCCGCTCTTGCACACCAGCTTCTGAGGCGCCAGCCCCGCTCGGGACGGGCCTCGGCCACGCTCAGTAAGACGCTCGCGGCCCCTCGGAGCCCAATGCACCTCGCTGGGTGAGGTGCGGCCAGCCCAGGGGGGCATCTCAGACGGGCACCGCGTGTAACGCAACTGGCAGGGGACGGCACCGGAAAGTGGCTGCGTGCACTAAGCCAGGCCAGCGCCAGGCCCGCCCCACCCGCCCAAAGGCAAAGCTTCCTTTTCTGACGCCCTGCCGTGTTCTTCTCTACCACCCCTGCTGCAACTCAGCGCCCCCTCTTTACTGCGGGTCAGGACTGGAGATCTGGGGTCCCATGGCAGGAGGTGGCCCCAGGCGTGGCCTGGGGGGTGGCAGGTCAGGGAAGGAGGTGGCAGCTTCCAGGCCAGGGTCCAAGCAACCGTGAGGGCCACAGCTGCTCTGGAAAGCCTGGGGGCCGGGGGGGTGGGGAGGGGTGACTGGCCTTTGGCTGGCCCTTGCCCTGGGACCCCACGTCGGCTTTCTCCCTAGGGCCACCCAGCAAGGCAAAATGCTGGTCCGGGCTCTGATCTGAGGGGCTCTTTCTGTCTTGTCTGCACAAAAAGGGACAATGCCTGCCCAAGGGGGCGACAGGGAAAGGAGAGGGTCTGGCCCGTGAACATCTGGGTGTCCGTGCTAGGTGGGAGTGGGGGGCCAGGGGATGCAAGACTCGGTGGGCTAGAGACTAGGCAAATGTTCCACTTAGAAAAATGCCCCCTTGGCCTTCAGGGTTGGGGGAAGGACCCCTCGAATGTCCCTGAAGCTGGGTGTTCAGGACAAACTGAGAGGTTAAAAGGTCCTTCTGCAGAGTGGGCGCTTCTGGCCTCGGGGCCCACTGTCCTCCCCACAAGGCCAGCGGGGACCCTGCAGCAGGAGGAAGGTCGGGTGTTCCGTCAGCCTGGGGCTCCCATACGGAATGGGGGTCGGTCCTCCACAGGGGAAGGTGGGCAGAGCGTGAGCTCGGGAGGGAGGGGCCGGGGCTGACCAGGTGGAACCGCGCTGGGTGGGCATCTGGGGAAGAAGCTCCCGGGACTCACTCTTCCTGTGAGTCTGGGGGGGGGGCGGCCCACAAGCCAGGCCAAGGCGCCTCTCAGGCACCTCATCTGATTATGTGGGGCTGACACAGCTGTGGGTGTGAATGTTTCCGAGTGGCGGTTGGTCGCTTGGTGAGAAAACTTTGCCCGGAGGCCGAAACTGCTGGGAAAAAGCAGACTTTAAACCCTCTTCCCACAAAAACAGAAACCTCTTCACAAGTCCTGACATCCTCCTCAGACCAGAGAGGGGCTCCTGTGGGAGTCATCTGCAGGGCCCCACTGCGTCCCGGAGGGACCTGTCGCCAGGCATGGGAGGGCGGCGCTCCCGCTGCTCAGGGGAGAGGAGGCAGGGGAGGCTTCGGGTCAGCCCCTGGACTGCCCGGCCCCCTGGACGGCCGTTGGCTGCATGCTGAGCCCGCACATCCCGGCTGTGGGGAAGGAGGCAAAGCCCTGACACGCCATGTCTGGGAGGGGAAGCGCCATCTGGGTTGGGTGGCCCCAGGCGTGACAACTCTCACTCATTGGATGCCCTGGGGGGACAGGCAGCACCTGTGACCCCCAGGCAGGTGTCCACGCTCATCCCCCTTTTGGGGACAAGTGACAAGGAACAGGCTCCAGTACCCGGGGAGCCGGCCAGAGGCCGCCGTGGGATCGATGCTGAGTCTCCGGCCGTCCTGGCTCCAGTATCCTTTGTCACTTCCACAGACTGCCGCCTCCTGGGAGTCTCAGTACTCAGCAGCCAGTGGCATTTCCAGATCTCCTCCAGCACCCGCCGCAATTGTGTGCTAGCGGGAGGGAAGCCGCAGCGCCCCGGCCTGGTTTTCCACTGGAACGTGGGGCCACTGCTCCCCCCTGGTTCTGGGCGCAGAGCCATCCACGAGTGCATGGCCGGGAAGGCGGGGGTGCCGTCGGGCGGCCGTGACACCCAGGCGCCCACCAAAGCCCTGGGCCCTGGGGCGCGGTGCCTGCCATGGGGGCTCCGGCGCTGACTCGGTGCCCACACGCGCCTCCCCCGCGCAGCTTGGCGCCTCAGGGAAGCAGGCTCTGCGCAGAAAGATGGCTGAGTAGCGGGCAGCTGTAACAGCCAGGTCAGTCTGCCTACGGAAGGGACCTGGCCGCACATGGCGGGGCCAGGGGAAACGTTTTGGGACAAGACGTCTCCAAGCTGAGTTCTAAAAGGCAGAAAAACAGTCCAGAGAGGGGCCCTCTGAGGGGGGAGCCCATGTCCTCTCTCAGCTCACTCAGGGCCGCTCACGGCCTTCCTTGTCCACCTGCCCCAGAGGGCACCCCACTCTCCTTCCCCTCTGTGCTTCGTTCCCGTCGATGCTGTATGTCGTCTCCTCGCTATCGATAGTCTCCCGCTAAAGTGTCAGTCTGCGAGGGTGGAGAGCGTCGGTGACGGAGCCACAGCTCCCAGAACGGGACCCCCCAGCAGATGGTCAGCCTCCTCTTCGGCCAAAGAAATGAAAGACGTGAGTTTGGCGAGCCAGGGCAGCGGCCTGGGGCCCCCGAAGGCCAGCCCTCGCTGCCCACTGCTCTCCCAGGGCCTCCCTGGTATTCTGACCCGATGCCCTGGACTGCCTGCCGCTTGGGGCCACAGCCTCCCCTGCCGCCTCTCCCTCTGCTCTCGACCTGCCCTGAGGCTTCTGCGGGAGGCTCCTGGCTACACGGGGCCACTGCCACCACGGTGCGGCATGGGCCCGCCTGTGGAAATCGTGGCTGCCATCTCAGCCCGGGGCCACACCCAGCCAGGCTCGGCCTCAGCCGACAATCGGCAGCGGCTCAGAGCTCAGGAGAAGCCACCACGCCAGGAAGGGTCCTGGAGGCGCCGCACCGTAGCGGCCTGAGGGCAGCCTCTGGGTGACTCCACCGCACGCGCTCTGGGAAAGGCAGGCCGTGGAGACGTGCACATGGGCGGAGGTCCCGGGGCTGAGGGGAAGGAGGGATGAAGGGTGCAGTCCATGCACTTGACTGCGGGATGCTAGAACGAGGCCACTGTCCATCCAAGCACACACGGTGGACACGAGCGGCTCTCGTGGAACTGTGGACGGTGCGTCGCCGTGCAGTTCACTGACGGACAAACGCACCCCTGGTGGGGGTGCTGGAGCGGGGAGGGTGCGCGTGGGGCGGCAGGGTGTGGAAGGGAATCTGCGCCTTCCCCTCAATTTTGTTGTGAACCGAAAACGGCACTGGAGATACTCGTCTAGTAAAAAAAAAAGTGCGGGGCTCCCTGGGGGCGGGGGCTGGGCCGCAGCACTGTGAAGCTGCCGCAGCCACTGCACTGGAATTCGACCCCCGGCCAGGGAGTGACCACGGCGCCGGCAGACCTCTCCTGACCCGCCCGCTGCTCCCCTCGGCTGGATATTTCAGTAGGTCCGCCTGTCTGCTCCCCACTCTGTCCCTGGTGATCCTCTCCACCCCTGCACCTCTGGCCTGTACCCCAGTTCTTGTCTGCATAAATAAAATCTTTTAAAAAACAACCAAAAGATGGGGCGCAGAAGTCGCAGGAGGCGCTGCCTGCCTGGCTGCAGCCCCGCCCTCCGTCCTGCGCTGGGGGGCCGGTCCTCCGTGTCCGGAGCCCCAGTGACCCAGGGCTGCCCGCAGGTGGCGTGGAGGCCGTGCTGATCCGGCTGGTGAACGGCTCGGGCCCCCACGAGGGCCGCGTGGAGGTGTTCCACGACCGGCGCTGGGGCACCGTGTGTGACGACGGCTGGGACAAGAAGGACGGCGACGTGGCCTGCCGCATGCTGGGCTTCCGTGGCGCCGAGCAGGTGTACCGCACGGCGCACTTCGGGCAAGGTAAGGCGCTGGGAGGGGGCCCCAGAACCCCAGGCGGCCTCCTTCCTGACCCCTCACGCCGCCCCCCTCCGGTCGGCAGGCGCCCCCCTTCCCCCTCACTGTCCCCAGCACTGTGCGTGGACAGGCCGCGCTGGACACCACCTCCTCGACTGTGCTTCTCCTCCCCGCCTCCTGGCGGCGCCCGCGAACCTCACGGCCGTCTCAGGGTGCTGGGCACACGTGCCTCAGTCACCCCCGGGAGCGCCCCGCCCCCAGCCCTGCTCGTCTTCAGCAGCTGCGCCAGCTGCGGCATCCTGTCCCCATGGCAGGCGTCCCCGAGCCTGCAGCGTCTGCTTTCCTTTTGACGCGCTTGAGCCCTCTTCCTGCAGATGGCACGGGAGTTGCCCGGCAGAGGCCCATGTCCCCCTTGCCCTTTTCCGGGCCCTTTCTAAGCAGCTTGAGGACGAGGCGAGGCTGCATGGTGCCGTGGCCCCTGCAGGCGGGAGGCAGACGTGCGGGTTCTGCACCAGGCAGGGCCACGCATCACCGAGAGTCCAGGGGAGCGGGGTACCGCTCCTGGCCACGGGTGGGCGCCGGCATCCGTCCGACCACGTCCCGGACCTGCCCCTGCGACCCAGCACGCGCCTGCAGATCACTAACTGCCTGGGGATGCTGTCGAGTGGCAGGCCTGCCCTTCCCGGGACGCGGGCGTGGGCTTGTGGAATGGGGCCATCTGCTCGCAGCTCCAGGAGCTGGGAGGTGATGTGGGCGCTGGCCTGCTTGGTCATGGGCACGGGACCATCCAAAATCTGTCTGACACTGGCCCTCTGCCTGGGCCCTGCTTGACTTTCATAAACAAAAGTTCACAAGACATCACAGCTCACAGCTTGCAGTGTCGCGTATAAAGTGTGGGCCTGGGAGGTGGCGAGGCTTGGGCCTGAGTCCAGACTCTGCCCACCAACAAGTGGAGCAAGTTGCACCAAATGCTTTCTGGGCCTTGGCTTTCCCATCTGTAAGATGGGTTTATGGCACCCAGAGGACCGAGGAAGGTCACACGTGTACAATGCTGGACACAGGCGACTCGGCAGAGGTGGCATCGCCCCACCAGTCTGTTCTAAGGTCAAGAAACTAGGTCTGGGAAACAGCAGTGAGGTCTCGGTGGCGGGGAGGAGGCAGGTGTGGAGCTCTGGATCTGAGAATGGCCAAGAGGCCCTGCAGCCTGCCAGGCCGCCAGGCCCGGCCCTCCGGCTGAGCCCGTGACTGTCTCCACAGGCACCGGCAGGATCTGGATGGATGATGTCGCCTGCCGGGGCACAGAAGACACCATCTTCCGCTGCAGCTTCTCCAAATGGGGGGTGTCGAACTGCGGCCACGCCGAGGATGCGGGGGTGACCTGCAGCCAGCACTGACAGGGCCCTGCACTCCAGGCAGGGCCGTCGCTTGGGTCACCCTGACCAGTCTGCCTCGCCAGCAGCCCCCCACCCCGTGACAGCGTGTTGTCCTTGTCCTCGTGGACATCGCCACAGTGCCTCTCTGCACCCACTCCCTGCCTCTCCCTCCCTGGGGACCCCGCCCACGTGGGTCCTGCTGCCCGCTGGCCCCTTGCCCCGCCTTCTAACCCCCAGCCCCGGGCCGTCCACTCCACAGGAATGCTGGCAAGATGTGGAAGAGGGGAGAGTAGCAGAGGGTCCCCTGCAGGTAATCCCCAGACCTGCAGGCCCAGAGTCCAGACTCTCTCCAGCCACCACGACACCCAGCGACTCCGTTTCCCTCTTTGCTCGGACTCTGCCCCCAGGCGTGACCTAGTTTGCAGACATGACCTAGAGGAGAGGCCCTGAGGAGCAAGAGGCAAACGCAGGGGCCGACGGCGGCGTGGAGGGCGGGCGACTGCGTGTGCGGCCCACTGTGCTGCCCGGGGGGCCCGGCCCCAGGAGGCACTGCCCACTGCCCAGCCTGCAAGTCAGAAGACTGAGAACAACCGACCACCGTGTCCACCTTCACATGCCTCTGCAGGCAGCGTGGGGTGACACGTGGCTGACTGAGCTACAAACCCCAGGACGCTCGGGTGTGAGCGCAGACGCGGCTTGTTCCCAGGGCGCCCACGCGCACAGCTGACTTGCAGGGCGGCACGGGGTTGTCCAGACTAAGTGAAGACCAACACTCAGCGCTGGCATCAGAGTTTAAAGTCAAGTCCTCTGCATTGTCTGGCGGGCCTCTTTGGGTGTGAGTCTGGGGTCAAGTGAACGTGTGTCTGTGGCTCCTTCTGAGGCGGCAGGAAATGGGTCCCCTGTCCGCTCTGGGGCAGGGAGGGAACAAGAATCTGCACATCCTCACCCCGTGCCCTCCCAGGGAGGTCATGTTCTGCTTCTGGCAGGAGGAAGGGGCCACGCCAGGTCACGTGCCCCAGCACTGGGGCTGCATGGAGCGAGGGTGCCCAGACCCATGTCACTGGGGGAGCCAGAGCCTGGCCAGACCCCGGATCGTACTCCCCTCTCAAGCGGGGTGAGCGCCAGCTGGCCTGGGCCCCCACGGCAGACCCACAAAGGCCCTAACTAGCACTAGCTGTTGGTCGTGGTTTGCTCACAGTGTACAAATGCTCATCACCGCCCTCGTGACCAGAGACGCGCCTTCTGCCATCGCTCAGTAGGTAACACGCATGGCCCGGGGCCTCTCCAGGGCCGCTAACGCGCTTATAGACAGAGCACTCTCGCCACGAGCTCAGCCACCAAGTTTGCACGAAAAGAAGAAAAGACTGCAGGTGGAGAGATATCCCCCTGAATGAAATCCATTCCCCAGGTGGTCCTGGAAAACACCCACTTAGCCCAACGAGGAGCACCCACGTAAGGTGGTCTTTGGGGAGCAAAACAAAAGTTGTTTTATATCAAATAAATACAACAGCGATCCGTATTTGGACCTTTAAAGTCTACTGGTTTACAATCCTACTTAAGAGGGCATGGAAATAACCATGGACCTGTATTTCAGGGACTAAACGATATTAGGCCTGGCCTAAAATACATCAGGCCTTTTTGTAAGAAAAAAATTCAATAAAGCTGAAAACATGTCACTGAGGAGATTTCTATCACATTCTTTCTCATGTGAAGCCAAGGCGTGTGGGAGGACTCAAAATTCTGATCGGCCGGCCAGCAGCAATTGGCAGGGCAGCTTAGACCGAGAGCGTGGCGGACAGATGTTACAGCCACGCTGGGACTGTGAGGACAGGGTTGCAAGCAACTGACCCATGTTGAGGCCCACCTTCTAGGACGATCACCTTGGTAGCCATCTCAGGGATTTGCCGCCCTTGGGAGTAAGAGAATTTCCAGAACTGGTCAAGGTCTGTGAGGCCAGGAGCTCCCAGGGAGGGTGTAGGATGCCCGAGGCCCTGGCGTCGTCCTGGGAACTCACACGCCCACAGCTGGCATCCCTGGGGACACCTGTCAGGACTACCATAATTTGCTAAAAGAAGTCAACAGAGAAAAGTTGACCTTTCCTCCCCTAAATGACCCGGGAACAGGGCCCCACAGAATGGGGAGAGGCAGCACCCTCCCCCGCCCTCTCTAGTGCCACACAGCACCACCTTCGCCCTCCTCTCCGTGCCTGTGGGACCAAGTTGCGGGCTACGTGTGCTAGAATTAAGCCAAGTCACCCCTTAGGCTGCATGTGTGCAAAGGACTACAATTTCTTCCACCTCTAAAATCAGTTGACAGATTTTTTTATTCTTGAGTCACAGTGGGACTAAGCGGGAAGTTGTCTGACATTTGGAGCTGTGTGGCTTTATGTGGAGAAGAATGCCAGGCAGGTCGCCCACAGCACTTGCCAATCAGCAAATGCAGTGACATTTCCTAAATCAAGACAAAGAGCCGTTTGCCATTCCTACCGAGCTTGCTTCCTAAGTTATGTAGCTAGAATCAGTCTTACCCTCCACGGGTTTCTGAGGCACAGTTACACGCGAGCATAGCAAACCAGAAAAGACATGTATTTCAAAGCACAGTCTTTCCAGATATTTCTTGGGTAGCTTGGTGCTGGACAGCAGAGGCAAGGGGCAGGCAGGTCAGACAGGTGAAGGGGGGAGAGGTGACCGGCAACGGGATGACAGGACAGGAGCTGGATTTGTGAGAAACCACCACGATCGAGGTTCCCAAGCTTTCCGTGAGGACTCGTGATCGTTTGTGAAGATCTGCTTAGGTCATGTTATAGAAACAAATCCAGAGGAAGGCAATGAGAACCCGGGCTATTTTACAGATAGTGTGGCCCTTCTCCACTGGCCACTCCTCTCACAATTCTGGGCAGTGGTATTTTCTCATGGCGAGATTCCATGGGCTAAGCAAAAGAATGTTCGAGCAAGTATTTTGGCAGCTGTGCCACGAACATGGCCGACTCCTCGGACATGGAGCCTTCACTAAGAATGCTCCAAGGTGGTGAGGGGCCGTCCCTCAATGAGACTGATGTGAGAATGATTTCCCGAAATAAAAGCCACAGCCACTGTAGTGCGGCTACCAGCCTAGCATGGGGAAAGAGGCGGGGGACGGGGCAGGAGGGTCCAGGCTTCCCAAGCCCGGGGAAGCTTTACTCTTTCCTTATTTTAAAGGTTTATTTATTTGTGCATACAAGAGCTGGCGTACAGGTCAGAGGCTGGGGAGTGACAGGATTCCCCAGAGACAGAGTGGGGAGCAGAACAGGCAGATGGACTGAAATCCACTTCTGAGGGCAGCAGCAGGGAGACAGGAGAGGTCTGCTGCGCCCTGGGGGTCAGCTCTTGGCCAGGGATCGAACTTGTGCTGCAGCAGCTGTAGACAGCTTCACAGTGCTGTGCTCTAACCCACTGCACACCAGCAAGGCCCAATCTGTACTCTGTCTTTGGACTTACTTTCTGGCATCGTCTCATGTCCTGCCTCAGCCTCTTGCAGCCACAGCTGCTTCCCGTGTGAGTGACGCGCCCTTACATCCTCAGCCTCCAGGCCCAGGTGCGCCCACCACGCACGCTCACACCACTCCCAGGTGTCCACCACCAGGCCCTGGTGCCCACGCCAGCTCCCAAGCGCCTCCTGCAATCAAGGCCACAGGCGATGGCCACAGAGGCCAGCGGCACAGAGGCTGACTGTTTCGTCACTGCCTCTACACCATTCACTTTCTACCCACCTAGTAAAGGCAAACCAGAAACACTGAAATGGGTTGAAAATATGCTGTGGTTAATAGGTTAGACCTTGCAGAGGAAAGGGTCTCTCTGTGGCCTTGAATTCAAAAGGAAACACGGAGGAAGGAAAAAATGGGGGAAATGAGTAGAACGCCAGTTAACTACAGAAAGATATCAAATGGCAAATACATATATAACTGGAGGTCAAGGAGGAGGAAAATTCAGGAAACATATTTGAGGAAGTAACAACTGAATCTTCCCCAAATTTGGTGAAAATTAAAGACATATAGGTCCTTAAAATTCAACAAATTTCGGCCCTCCCTGGTGGTGCAGCGGGTTAAAGCACAGCACTAAGAAGCTGAAACCACTTCCGCATGAGCTCAATCCCGCCTGCCCAGGGAGCTGACCCCCAGGGCGCGACAGACCTCTCCTGACCGCCTGCTGCTCCCCTCAGCAGTGTGCTTCGTCAGTCGGCCGGTTCTGTTCCCCACTCTGGGTCTGGTGAAGCCTCTCACCGCCCCTGCACCTCTGGCCTGTACCCCAGCTCTGTGTGCATAAATAAATAAACCTTTAAGTAAATAAATAAAAATAGAGGGAGGCGACATTTCAAATATCTCTAAGGGCTGGCATAGCCCTGAAGTTGGCAGTGCAAGGACATTTGAACAACAGCCTCTGCAGAGGGTGCTAGGCAGGCACTGGCACAGAAGCAAGATGTGTGAGGCGGAGCCACAGGCCAGTCTCGCCCAGCCACAGTCACCACACACTCGACATGATCAGCAAACAAGCAGCGGCAAAGTATAAACAGCAGTCGGCGCTGTGCAGTGAAATTATGCTAGGAGCGCAAGTTGGCTTCACATTAGAAAAGGGAAATCACCACCCGCAGAGGGTAGAGGATAAAAAGCACATCATCTCCTGGATTAAAAAGATGTGGTACATATATACAGTGGAATATTACTCAGCCACCAAAAAAGAGAAACACATGTCTTGCAGCAACTTGGATGGAGCTGGAAAAGATCATGCTTAGTGAGATAAGCCAGAAAGAGAAAGAAAAATACTGGATGGTTTCGCTCATAGCAGGAGTATAATGGACCAGGCGAGAAAATAATAAGAATAATGAACAGCCATAGACCAGAGACATTTTGCAGGGGTGGAGTGGGGAATGGGATCAAAAACGGGGGGGGGGGGAATGCACGGGACTATGGTGGTGGCACACGGGTGACTTGGTGATGGGAAACCTGCGGGGATTACAATTGAGATAAAAAAAAAAAAGTACAAAATGATGTAAAAATAAACTGTTATAAAATAAAATAAAAAGTTATTCAAAATGTAAAAAAAAAAAGCACGTCATCTCATCCACAGGAGAGTCAGTATTCAGGTAGGGAGGTGGGAACTCGTCATACAGGTAAGCGCGCACCTCAGCGGCCCTCCCCACTGTCAGAAACATGGCAAAAACGTCACCATCTCGGTTTGTGCCAGAGCTCCGGGCCTGCACAGTGAGAAACAAAACAAATAAGTGTGAGGACTGGGAAGGAAAAAACAAAACTGAGTATTTGCAGATGACGTGGTTATGGACTCCGAAAACCCAGAGGGCGAGCGCATTATTAGAATTAACAGGTGCATGAAGAGCACAACTGAGTCACCACGAGACAGAGGAGACGTCAACGCCACCCGAGCTCTGCTCCCTCAGGCACGTGCTGATTGTGAGGTTTGAAAAAGGGAAGGAGAACGGCCCTGCGTAGCCACGGAAGCCACGGGGCGCCCACTGAAGTGTTGAAACAGATGGACTCGTCACCAAGGGCTCCAGCAGAGCCCACGGTGACCTTGGCCGGCGACCCCAGGCTGTCCACTTCTTGTCCCTGCTGCCCACCTGGCCCTTGATTCGACCGTCCAGACACACCTGTGCCATCTCCCCTGCAGAGAGAGTTCTTCCTTCCATTACTGTCCCTCACTGCTTCCGGGGAGCCCCCCTCGGCCCCTCACTAGGGCGTGTCCGCCTAGCGCCAGCTGCATGTTCCTGCCCCTCCGGTCACACCAGCAGCCCCACCTGACTAGGGCCGGCCCCCCACCCACGTCATCAGGTCCACGAGGCAGGAGCTGGTGTCCAGTTGTTAGTACCCGCTAGCACCTGCAAAACGGCAGGTGCTTAACATCTGGGAAGGGAGGCCAGGAGCAAGAAGACAAACCGTCTCCTTCCTGCACGGGGCGAGCCGGAGGGCAGTGGAGGGGCCAGGGCGAGAGTGCTGACTTGGTTTCCCACTCAACGCACTTTAGCGCGGTCCTGCTCTAATGTGCACTTCGCCAACCACATCTCCGGAAATTCCATTTCTAATACTGATTAGATGTTGCTGGCAAAGTGCATTGGTAGAAAAATACTGGTAGGTAAAAATGTGAAATCCCTAAATAAAAAATGGCCATGGTGAGTACACCCTGAGGGCATTCGTTGCGCAGCATTTTGGACGGTTGGGGTGGCCAAACTACAAACTGTAAAAGCTTACAGAGCCTGGAGTCAGACCCCGGGCCCCAAGTCTCAGCTGCGCAGCTGCTGCATGAACCTCCAGCCTCAGGCTCAGCACTGTCGCTGCCTGCAGCTCACCTCCCGCGAAGGGCGGGAAACACGCAGGGAGCCTCCCTGCCGCCCAGGGCTTCAGCCTCAGGGCGGCCCTGCAGTTCCAGCCCCGGCCAGACCCGCAGGAGCAGCAGACCCCTCCTGTCGGCCTCTGCTCCCCTCCCCTCTGCGGCAGCCAGCGGACTGCAGTGGATCTGCATTCTGCTCCCCGCTGTCTCTGGGGAGTCCTCTCACTGGCTTCCCCGCTCCGGCACCTCTAGTCTTCTACGCCCAAAAATTATACAACAGAAACTTTCGGTTTACAAAATCTAGGTGTATATGAACAATAACACTTTTATGGTAACATGGAAGACTTCGGCGTATTGGAAAAGT